AAGCATTCTGTGATTCTATGATTCTATGATTCCGGTTTTGATTTGTGTTTTATTCTGTGTTGCAAACACAAAACCATCTCTATCCTGTAATATGAACTTGTCTTTGTGAGACATAAAAGAAACAAAAACTAGCAAAATTCACTGTGTAGTTAGATAGGAGAAAAAGCTTTTACTTTTATGCAAACTCCAACCGTACTCCAAAACATCTCTCAACAAGTCACAAACAGCCAGACAAGGTTAAAAATTCACCTAACTCAAATTCAAATAGCTTTTTTAAAAGTTAAAAAGTCTTTTTTCCTCCTAAAACTCTAAGTGCTTTTCCAATTATCTGATGTTCCTTCTTGATGAGATGTAATCTACCTTATAATCTACCTGTGATGAGAAACAATGATGATTCACAATGCAGAATAAAATCAAAGACAACCGGGAGCTTCTTCAGGAAGTGTTTGGTTACGATTTCTTAGAGCACACTAATATTAACAGCACGTCCAAATCTCTCTCCATATGCACCAACCACAGACTGGACCTATGGAAAACAACAAAGCATTTCTAGTCATCCATGTATGGATGCATTGGATGGAATCACTTAGCAGTGACTCCCAACTGTCTCTGTCGATGTTATGGTGAAGGTGGGTGGTTAAGGTTGACCAGGACAAATGTCCTCCCCAGAGTGTGTGAATTCTTCCTTTCCCTTCTATTCTCAAGACACGTTAATACAGAAGCAACAAAAACATAAGAATCCCGTCTCCCACTTTCCTATTGGGAAATTTACCCAGTTATAGCATAAAATGAGGTGGGATTTTAGCCTTCGCTGCTAACAGAAGCACATAATGAACTGCAACGATGCAGCAATCGTACAGATATTGGAAAAATGGTCTTGCGTTACAGGCAAGTGTCAGCTTTATAATATTTCCTTGAACACTCAGTAGTCTTGGGAGGCTTTCGCTACAACACCAAAGGATCCCAAAGTAATTTCTGGTTTGCTGTAGCATGTGCATGATCTGCAAATATTGCAGATACCTGAGCCACCATGCACCAAACTGGAGCGCCTGGCACAGGCAGAGCTTTTAAGGACATTGCGAGTTTGACAGCTGTCATTTCAGCTAGGTACATGCTAAGAGATGTGCCTAAATACACAAATCCTTAGCTCCTATGCTAAAGTGGAGGAAAAAACTATCAGTGACTTCAATGAGCAATTTCCTCATTACTGCCATGTTACACGCGATGACGTGTAGAATATTCTGGATATACCACTGGCAACAGTTACACGTTGAATACGGTTATTCATCTGAAAATAGGCAGGATGGAAAAGCGAAGTGCCCTTTGTGCTATGAAAGAACAAAACGGACTGGCAAGTATCTCAGACGCTTAGTTCAACCACAGACATGTCCTGCACTGTAACTACGCCAAGGTCACTGCTCCTTATGTGAGCAAGAGCAAAACCAACCAGTTCAGGTATTAGGTGCATGCGATCACCAAAGCTTGCAGATAATGATATCAGCTCTGAGGCTTTCCATCCTATTTGTTAGTGCAGCTAGTTCCATTTTTTTGTTCCATTTTGCTCCACACAAACTATTTTTAGATTCTTGATGTAGAAATTTCAATGTAAACCTGGTGTTTTCCTAACAAAGCTGCAAAGCAACAAGACTAAGTTGACGCAAAGAATACTTACTCCTCCAAAGTCAAGGAGCACAGAGAAAAGTACAAGTTTGGTTCATTCAAGCTTTGAAAAGGAAACACACAAAACACAGAAAAGATAGGAAGGCTTCATCGGTGCAGAGCGCGTCGGCCTCCACCATCCACGCTGGCTTCAGGTTCCTGACGAACGCCTCCCCTGCTCGCCGGAGCACTGGGCACAGAGCTTCCCCCAGCGGGGAAGGCGTGCAAGGATGTGCTGAGGAAGAGGTTCTGCTATCAAGAAACCAACGGTACTGCAGGAGCGGAGGGAGAAGGAAGAGGGATAAAGACAATAATGAACCCTGATGATTAAAGCACAGATCCAGACAGAGGCAAAAGAAGATTCCATTAATACTTGGATTTAAACAGCAAATATTAGCTACTTTATCCATTCCTTAGAGCTCACCATTTCTGAATAAAACCTGTTCAATCTGCTTTCCTGTGTTTCCGCACTAGATGTGCTTGGACAGTGAGTCAATTCGTCCCTCCATTTTAACTTACCTGGTACCTATGGCTCTTTTGGTGTGCTAGTGCATGGAGTATTTTGTAGTCACAGCTACCAACATACAGCAATCAATCATTTCCACAGACAAAAGCTTTATTATTATCTATTACACTAAAAGCCCTTGTTTTACTCAAGACTCTTCCCTAAAGACCATTGTTTTGATGTTCTGGGGTCATGCTAAACACGGGAAAAAACTATCAGTCTTTTCTTGCTAAAAGCCTTGCTTAAAGAAAAAAGTCAAGTCAAGTTCATATTCTTTTGCACTTTGATAATACAATAATTACACTTATTGGAAACACATGCTATGTGGATCTTTTTGGAGCATTTTTCTCATTGTCTGGTACTGCAAAACACATCTGGGTTGTATTTGCCCCATGTAAGCTAATAAGGGTACGAAGTTTTTTTAAAACAATAATCAAGATAATCCTAAAAACAGCTTTCCAAAGTAAAAAGAGGAGAAAAAAACCTCCAGGCTTCATCCAAATCTCTAAGTGTAACAATGACTAAGGTTAGAACTAAAGACCTTTTTTCCAACTACAAGGCCATTAGTGAAGAAGGAAAGAAAAAAAGATTTTTTAAAAAAATCTCATTACTATGTCTATATATAAATGCAGTTAAGCATACCATACTAATGGAACTTAATAAGGGATGTCTCCCCACCTACTCAGATCTGAATTAGCACGATTTCGAGTGCCAATATGTTGGCACTAGAAGATGTCAAGCTTCTTCTTGTTACTAAACTCCTAACTTGGGAGAATTGGAAACTTTAAAGCTTTTTGCTGGAGCATAGGGGATGTTGACACCTTCCAGATTTTCACTTTACTGGACCAACCCACAGACAGTATGGTGCAAGGGAACAGCAGATGGCTTCTCTTCTGGTGCCTCTGCTCCCTAAATACGAAGCCAACCGTTGTTCTTAAGCCATACATATTCAGTTCCTGCTGTGAGGAGAAGGCGTCTTATTTATGTTAGAGCCTTCCAGCCCACACTGCACAGGTCCCACTCTAGATCATCTCTGCATACGCTCACATGGCTTGCATGTTAAGTGTCCAAAGGAAAGTAATTCTATCTAAACTTTGGAAAGACAATCAACTTTTAGACTTAATAGGAGCTACACGTTGAACTCGTCAGTATTCTTCCTCCCTTCACTCCTACCTTCTTAAAACACACATACAACATAGGACAAGGGAAAACAAGTGAAGTGCCAACAAAAGGAAATCTTTTCTTTCCTGTTTCACAGCTTCTCTTACCTTACACAGGTCTGGGTTTTGCCACAATTGGGAGGAGGAAAAAAGAAAAAAAAAGCTACCACAAACCTTTTCCAATTGGCAATCCTCTCTTCAGACCTCCCCACTGGCGGAAGTATTAACGCTCGGTCTGTGCTGAAGTCCAAGGCAAATCCAGGAGGCCATGGCACTTCTCCAGGGGCTAAGTGTTTGAGCTTGCATTTTACACTTTACATGTGAGGTCACAAAATACCCAGTTTAATCCTGTATCTTTCTTATAGGATCACAGACCTCTATGAAAAAAGACTAAATTTCACCATGTACTAATGAAAGAAAATTACAGTCTGGAAATCTGACAGGGGAGCAACAGAGTTTCACCATCCTGTAACCAAATACCATATAGTTTTCTTTTCCCCAGAGTCTGATGAAAAGATAGAAACAGGCTTTGATAATGCTATTAAGTTGACAGAGCAATGCTACAGAACAAGTCTCACTGCATTTCACTCACCTGTCTTTGGACACACATAATGATTGATTTTTCCTACAGATATTGCAGAGGCA